GCAAACTCCAATAAAAAGTATTTCCTACTCTCCTAAGAAAAAGATTTAGGACAGATTAATACCTTCGAATTGTAGTGATGCATGGTAAATGTGTAATGCATGGTTTGTTATCCCAGGTCATGGAATCATGTGAACCTTGATGCACTGCATTGTGATTTGATTTGAAAATAATTATCACCAATGCACAACAGACCAGCATTTTAGCGTACCACAATGCACAAGTGTAAACTATTTGTGCATTCTGCTGCACTGTAAAAAAAGCGCAAGTCTGTTAAAATATCTATTATTCAAAGATGAATGGGCTTTCTTACCGTAATGCATGCTATCATTACATGGGTGTAGTAACAGACTGCAAGAGCCTGAATCTGAATTTAATTAAAAACATTGTGCAGTTTCAAATGTTTTTGTTGTTATAACTGATTTTAGTTATATTCCCTGTGTTGATTGTTTGTTTTACCTTGTAAGGATTTGCTCACATGTTATGGCTGCAGTTTGTAGTATGAATGGCTAATTGGTTTCCCTATGTCCATCTATTCATTCATTTAGCTTGTCCCTATTTGCTAAAGGAACTGCTAATTTCTCATTCTTGGACACGCAGCAACGAATGCCTTGCCATGTCTTCTTGTTGCTTTACAAAAGTGTTGATAATGTGATGAAAATACGTTTTCTTCACTGCTCTGCCTGCTTGTGCCTGTTTCAGATCTAATTACTATGCAGCTTTTACCTGCAGAACACTGAGAAACCCAGGCATATGTAGATTGTTTACAGAAAATGTCAGTTTTTAAACTGCAGTCAAAAGTCATGCATTAATCTGTGCAGTGCCATGTAGCATGCCTCATGTCTGAACACAAACAGAAACTTCTGATACCAGAATTTGGGGATATACTCTACTAGGCTGTGCAAACAAGGCAACAAATGACACACTGAAACTCAGTGGCAAGCCATGCACTTTCAAACCTAGGCCTTCAGTGATGTCCTACCTGAATTAATCCAACAAATTTTGGCTGTAACCTAAAAAAACAACATGGAATAATGGAGACATGACAAAGTGGGGCCCTTGATTAGCCAGGGTTGACTGTACAAAAAAATTAATTAAAATGCATTGTACTCACCAAAATACTGATTACTTACTTAATGAGTACACAAAATACATCCTTCTGAACAGACTTCAGTTACTCTGTTGTTCACGTTATCTGTGTGTTTCAGTTCTAACGATAGGTTCTTTTCTATCGCCAAGGAGGCTAATACTGAAAGTCGAGTCTGTCCAGTCGTATTTCTGGCATAAGTTTTAATTTGATTTAGGGCTGAGAATGTCCACTCAACAGAAGCAATGGACACAGGGATTGCACTCCTGCTAGATGACCCCGGTGTTGCCAACTTAAATCTGATTGGTTAAAGCTACAGTTTCATTGCCAATTACTGTAAGCTATAGGTGTTGATTCTGAAGGCCTCAAGGTGTTTTTCTTTGTATGTTTTTTTTTTACCATGGCAACACATGATGGCTATCATGGCTGAAATATGTTTGGATAAAAGCTCTAACATAAGCATACACTGCTGGAAGCAACGGAACCAAAAGAAAAGCTATGAAATAAAGAGAATAGACTATATTGGGAAAAACACATGGAAAAAATATATTCAAACATAAGTCAGTGATTCTGATAGTTTAGGCAGTGTTTAGGCCAGCAGAGAATGCCATACTGGCCATGATGGCCCACCACTGACAAGATCAATGCACATCTTATACAGGTGAAAAGCACAAGGTGCAGGCAGGAAGGTTTATAATGCCTTTTATGATCCCATGGTGAGGATTCTGCTCAATTTTGTTCTGGTGAGCACACAAAAAGTAAAGTTAGTCTTTAATAATAGGAACCCAAAGATTCTCAAGAAGACTTGACCACTCTATCCAAAAGAGAAAACATTTACTGTATTTCATTGTATTACTCATTGTTTGAGAATAATATTTCTTTCTGGGTATAACATCTCTTTTTTATAAATTACAATGACAGGCTTAGTATTATTTGCAGATTTATTTCATGTGGGTTATGAAAGATACCTTTATGCACAGTGATCAATTCAAGGAAACTATTATGATATGTTTTGAAAACATGATACTGCTGTGCTACCCTCATTTCCATTATACTTTGAAACAGATTTAAGTAAACTTGTCATGCAGCTAGGCAAATATTCTTAGACCTATTGTTTATACTCAGAGATTGGGCTACATACATAGAGGGGATGTACTAACAATATGAGATTGTAATTTGCATCAGCCTCTTTTCTTTTTGGTTTTAAAATATTTATTAAAAACATTTAAAATTTTGTTTTTTTTTTGGATGGTATTTGGAGTACCCTAAAGTCCCAGTGGAGTTTTCTCTTTGTCTGTAGCAATGAATCACTTTATTACATTATGGTAATTAAAATCTACCTCTTTTTAACGTTGAACAAAAATATGGTTTTGCTCACTTCTCAGTCTAGCTTATTTTCTCTGGTTACCAATCATTACTGCAGTTAGTCTAATAGTTTCAATAATACAGAGAAAAAAAGGATCACAAAAGGTGTCCCATGTATACTGATAAGTGCAAACAATGAAGAAAACAAGGTTATTTAAATACCTTAAGCCAAATTGAGAATATTTTTGCTTTAAATCTGGGTAAATTAAAATAGACATATAATGTACAGTACATATCTGCAATACCTGCACATTTCACTGTGTTTTCTCTGTTTAAAAAATCTGTAAGTACTGAAGAATATATGTTGATCTGCAAGAAATCCAGTGCACTTCTAATTTTCAGCTTGAGCTTGCAACACAGTGGAGGTTATGTAATAAAACTGCGTGGTGCAAAATCTGGTGCAGCTCTGTATGGCATTATAAACAGTTATATTTCTCTATTTCAAAGTTTTTTTAAAACTTGAAAAATGAGCATATATTGCAGAGATGCACTAAAAATGCTTTTATTTTAACTTTTTTTCCGAGATATAGTCATGTAAAAAATAAATGCAGCCAATGGAAACTTTTTTTCAACATATTTTAACAGATAAACATTGGATCTTCATTCATTTGGTGCCTGCACATAAAGATGATAGCTAAACAAATGACACATGATATCAGCATAATGCTCTCCATCTCTCCACCACACCTCTCCACACATTATGAGAGGTGTGGTAAGAAAATGCCTTTGCTGTCCGTAAAAAAAATATTAGAGCAAGACTACAGTTTTCCATTGAACATGTAAGCAGACTAGGTCCTCTGGAACATTGGGGGTTTTTACTAAAGCTAGAGTGTGCAAAATCTGGTGCAGCTCTGCATAGAAACCACTCAGCTTCCAGTTTTTATTGCCAAAGACTAATTGAACAAGCTGAAGTTAAACGGTTATTGGCTACCATACACAGCTACACCAAATTCTGAGTGCACCAATTTTAGTAAATCTCTCCCACTGAGCAGAAGACTGGGCAATTAAATATTTGGTCTTGGTTAACAATAGACATGTCTCCTGCATACCAAAGACAACTTTTTGAGAAAAAGAAGAACTGTGAAGCATAGTGATGAAAATGTTATGGTTTAGTGTTGGTTTGCTGCTTCGGGGCCTGGGCAGGTTGCAGTCATCAAGTCAACTTTACATTCTGCATAATCTCAAAGTGTGCTTAATAAGAATGTGGTGCCATCTGTCCAAAAGCTGAAGTTGAACTGTTCTGAAACACACTAGTAAATGCAGCAGGGAATGGCTCAAAAATATGTAATAGATTCCCCCAAGAAATTTTGTGGGGGATTTTGAAATAGGCAAGGAAACCTATAGTGTAAGCATTTTACAATTAAAGAAATTTTGCATGAGGAAGTGGTCAAAGATGAGGGGATGAGAAACGCCACACCCATAGCTCAATAGGTGGTAGAGAAATGTGAACTGCTTCAGCCTTGAGCTCCTCCTAATCCATGCCCCTGATGCATTTTGCCCCTCCCACTGGAGCTTAGTCATAGAGGTTGGTGGGGCAAAATGCATCAGTGACGTGGGACTGCATTAGGAGGAACTCAAAGCTGAGGCTGTTCACATTCCTCTCCAGCTGTTGAGCTAGTGGTGTGCGGTGTCTCTCATCCCCTCATGCTTCACTGCTATCTGGATAAAGCATAAGACTGCACCCTTACATTGCTGTGACACACCAGATTTTTTACCAGCAGAGCACCTTGAGAAGCACTACAAGTGGTTATAGGGAAGTAGCCAAAGGTTTCAGAGACTAACTTATACAAAATGTCTACAAAAAGCAATTTATGCTAAAGAATGCTATACTAGCTTATAATACCTGTTTGAACTTCACTATTGATATTTTGATGAATATATATTTGCTAAAGATTTCTTGGGTTTTTATTCAAATTTATCACCTTTATCTGCAAGCACTGTCTAAATAAATAATGTTTGCCTAGTCAAATGTATTGAAAGAGTCTACAATTTTCATTAGGTGTACCTAATTTTTTAATGACCGTACAGCTGTATAGCTAACCTATGTCACATGTACATATCTAAAAAGAATATCATTCCTCATAAAGGGAAAAGATGGTGTGCTGTGCGTGCAATATACCTGATGCACCAATTCCCAACAATAAAGACGGTGGGCATGTATTGTGGAGGAAAGAAGTTTACAGACCCGAATGATGCCATTCACCACTGGTGGTGTGTTGGAGGGACGTTAGTGTTTGGAATAAGTTGTCTAACTCTTTGATCAGTTATTCTCATTGAAGCATGTAGTCCTCCTGTGTCTATGACAAAGTTTTATCCTTCTAATCAGTACCTAATTACATAGGTTACATTAAAAAACATTATAAGACAGATCTCACTCTACTGCAGTGATATCAGAAGAGTTCATTTCAGGTTTTAGCAAGGTTTCTCGCCCTTTGAAAAGGTGTTATAATGCAAAAGGACTAAAAGGAAACTTTTTTATTTGTTATTTTTTTTTAATAAATGTTTTATTTTATATTCAAATGCATTATTAATTCAAACTTGTCTTTTTCATTATAGATGGTCTGATATTGTCATTTACCGTCTCTGTTGTCATTGGACTGGTAATTGGTGGTATAATATGGCTTCTACTCACATGCATGTCCCGTCGTCGAGCCAGTGCAGCTATATCCCCAAGAATGACAAATTCATCTAGTCGCCGTCCTAGAACCTCATCTCAAAACCATTCTCTAAACAGATCTGGGTTTTACCGCAACAGTAGTTGTGAACGCAGGAGTAACCTTAGTTTGGCTAGTTTGACTTTTCAAAGACAGACATCACAGGAGCAAAATGACCCATTTAATCGGAAACCTAGCTTCAGAGCATCCACATTCCATCCATTCCTACAGTCACCTCCACTACCTGTTGAAGCTGAAAGTCAAATGGTTACACTTCCCAGATCCAACAGCGCATCACCAACGCTTAACAATGTAAGCAATCTCGGCCAGCCTGAATTCCATTGGTCAAATAACAACTTGCGTCTTGGTCACTCCACTCATACTCCACCACCTGCCTATGAAAGCATTATTAAGGCTTTCCCTGATTCTTGAAAATGATGTCTAAATTGCTGAACTGAACAGCTTAAAATCATTTTCAGTGGATGGAGCACACGAAAGGGTGCCATTTGACTATTTTAGTGGTTTCTTAAAGAAGAGCTCCTGTTTAAATGACAATCTGAATATAGCTACATTGAGGGAGCTGTTAATTTTCTAAATATAATTGTGTATGCGATCTTTTAATTTCCAGGCACTGGGACAACGGTCAACAAGCATATTAACAGATCAATAACTTCCACAATCCTGACTCATTTTATAAAGGGGTAATATCCCTAGCCTGTGTTTACTTCACATTGAAACATGTACAGGGGAACTTCCATTTTTTATTCCTCTAAATATGATTGATGCTCCAAGTAAGAAAGGAAAAATGGCTACTTTAGTTAAGATACCGCTATGTCTTTGTGCTTGAATTAGAATTGTCATCAATATTTTATATTCTATAGCAATTATACAGTGTATACTTACTATGTCAAATATACACTGGTATGCCAAATGCTACTCTTGCTTGTAATAGCTAAATGTTTATTATGTTTGTATATTCTTCTACATTTGTTTGGTTAAATAAAAAACATATATATATTTAAGAGTCCAATATTTGAAATTTAAAGTGTGTGTAGAGTCAAATGGTTTTTTTTTTAGCTTATGGAAGGATTGGAACCCCTGTCACGTTTTTATTGCTGTCATTGCCTTTGCTAGGTAGATTTACACTCTCTATTGGTCATGGCGATCATTACCACTGGGACAGAGAGTAATGGTGAATACAAAAGTTATAGTTGTCACCAGAATAAAGGGTTAAGATAAATATTCCAAAGAGAAAATCTGTTCCAGTGACAACTGTCTAAGGGGAGATTTGCTCTCACTTCCTATTGTATCCCTGGGACAGAAAATGAGGGAAATCTGCCCAATGATATACAGACAGCAAAATATAATCTGATTAGATTTTAACCCTTCCGTACATTATAATAAACAAACACATTTTTTTGTGTAGACATGCAATTGAATGAAATGTAAACTTGACACAGACATGGACAATTCAGTCTGAGAGTATAAGGAAAAATACATAACCTGAGGTTTTTATTACTACAAACACATGTAGAAATAATCAGTAGATCCAGAGTTCTAGGCAGCTAAATATATAAGCAAATCTCAACCTTTTCCATAAAAGTGGAACTTGTCCCAATTTAGTCAACAAGGCTGACAAACCCACTAAAGGCAAAGGGTGAATTTATTGAATTAAGATATATACTGACAAAAGTGGCAATAATTAGAGCTCTGAGGAAGAAAGGATCTTCCTTTGAAACGCACCAGTTTCACCCTGAGAGTCTCCTCTCTTGATGGGATTCGCATGAGTCTCCTATGTGCTTTGATGTTGGATTTTATATGTCCTAATTATTGCCACTTTTGTGAGTATATATCTTAATTCAATAAATTCACCCTTTGCTTACTGAGGTAAGGTGCAAGGTTGGTGCGCTTTTAGATCAGTTTTTGGACAAACTTTCATATATTGTTCTATCTGCTCATTTTTTATCTAGGTCTCTGAGCACAGGAGGTGTATTTTTTTTCCACTGAGCCCACTAAAGGAACAGAAGGAAGGCTTGGGAGGTGGAAAGGAGTGAGATCTGTCTTTTACAGAAAAAAAGAGATCTCCCTGCCTATATCTCTTGATGTACTAGGTAGTACAAAAGCAGTAAAGAAGCGTTAAAACAAGCCTTCACCTACCTCTGTAGCTGCAGGCATTGTGGAACAATTTATCCTCAGTTCAGAGCAGAACCTGAAGAGATTTTCTCAGCAACTCAGTTCTCCCAGCAGCCTGATAACCCTATAATTTAACATATGATCACAGAATAGATCAAACTCTTTCATGTTTCTCTTAGGGATATTTTTTTTTAAGCTTGGAAAGAAATGATATTGTGTCCTTTCCAAAATACAAATTTGCATAACAATTATGTATGATCATGTAACATACTAATATATTGTATCTGCAGGATGTCTATGAGGCTAACTACAAATTTCAGTGTTAAAAAAAAACTGGAACAAAAGTGGAGTCGATGTTCTGAACAACCATCTAGGTTCAATGTTTGCTTTTTAATGAAGCAAAGGAATCTGGTTGGTTGCTTAGAACAATTGATTATAATTGACACTAGTCTTGCACTCAGTTCTGGAACTTACATTTATCCCAGAGATTTACTGTAGTTTCTGTGTCTTTTTTTCTACTTTTTTATTACTTCTGTATTTGGTGTTAGGAAGACCACGCAGTAGCAACTGAGACATGCAAACCTTTGGGTTGGTAAAATTTAGGGACACAGCAATCATGCATTTTCAGAGTAATGTTCCCTTGAACATTGGAAATTTTGCTTTAAGTAGAACTATTCTTTAAATACAGTTCGTCTAACTGTCAATATGTTATGTACGAGGAACAGAGTTAAAAAGTGATACTAAACCATATCCTCATTTTCCCATAATAATCCATACATATCTGCAACCTAATGCCCCTGTAATCTATGTTTATTGAAATAATTTCTTACTGTGATTTTCTGCCAACCTGTAATGTTTTTCTATAGGCTGCTGAAGCTCCTGTTTCCCACCTCATTTCCGTTTGTTTGGACCAAGCAGTGCACATTAAATGCAGTCATGGGTATGGCTCTATGCATACTACAAACCCCATGGTCCAGAGTCCATAGTCTGTAGTCCATTTTGGGAGTTAGCAGGAGAGGGTGGTTAAGATCCTACATACAGTGGGAGCATGGAGAACAAATTTAGCCACCCTCTTAGAGAAAGTCAGATTACAATTTAAAAAAAAAAAGAAATTTGGAGATTTGGAACAGGTGGAAGGCAATGGAAGGTTATTTTTTTCTATCTATCTATCTATCTATCTATCTATCTATCTATCTATCTATCTATCTATCTTTTTTTTGTGTCACCTTAACAACCACTTACTTAACAGAAAGCTGAGAAAGCAATATTTGATCCTGTTTGAATGAACAAGCTAGACAGTGCGCTGTTGAACCAATTATGCTATCCCCAACATTTTCCGCAGACAGCCTGGCTCCTTTCTGCTCTGTACACTACACTGTAGATGTACCAGCCCCATTAGCCAGTAATTAGTGCAGTCGCACCCGCATGCAGTGTGAAGTAATATTTGCATAGCAGTGCTGGGTTAACACCATAGAAACTTGGATGAACTATCTCATTTTTAGCATAGCTATTTTTTTGAATTTAGTATGCTTGCTAATAAATTTTAATTGTTGCCTGGTGTTCTTCTATAATGAACTTTTGCTTTGATAAATATGTTGGGTTTTAGAACACATGCTCTTCTTACTAAAGGAGAATGAAGATGATAACAAACTTTTCGTTATTATTATATCGTTTTTGGAAGTTGTTTTTTAAATGAGTCCTGTCTACTTTTTTAAATCAAAAATTTGTTATATTGAATATGTTTGCAGTTATATAAATGACCAAACCAATATCCAGTACAAAATGTTGGGTGACATTAATATAAATACATTTTATATGCAATGCCGGAATTATAATAGAAATTCGTAAAAAAAAACAAAAAAAAACAAAAAAAGAATTGCAAATACCCTTATATGAAGAATAATTTTTTTTTTTTTAAAATAAGGGTACATTTTTTGTTATGTAAATGTATAAGAATGATGGAAACATATATTGTTATGTAAACGCATGAATGAGAAATAAAATGCTTTTGTGATTTTCCTGTGCACATTGGTATCTGAGTTGTTTGGGACAACTTTTCCTTTGAACAGTTTTATAAAAAAAAAAAAAGCCTAAAATATTTGATATAATAATTTTTCTGATACTTATATCGTGAGAGAAAGGCATTTCCTGGAACACAGTGATCTAACAATTTACCTAATTTTCCCTGCAGATTTGTTTGCAACATTTTTGAACCATGGGTTTTTCCTTTGTGGAAACAAAAAGAAAACATGCTTCATTCTCCATTTGTCACACTCTTTTTGGCACAAGCACAGCTCTAGAAAGGAGTCCAATTAAAAATATTATATTGATAAAATATTAATTTTTTTCCAATGATTTTCCAGTGATTTACACATTTTGGACTACTGACTATTAAATAACCCACCCTACCAAGGATATATTTCATATCACTGAAACTTTAAAGTGTAGTGGGATAACAACTACTTTATATTTGTTACATTTTCATATAACATAGCATAACGTAAACATTTAAAACTTTCTGGTTACCTTTTAAGTGCTTTTTACTTGCCTAAAAAATCATCACATCTTCTGTCTGTTCTATTTTCACAGCTCTTTATTATCAGTTGTAAACTAGACTTGAACACTAAGGGGTATATTTACTAAAACTGGAGAATGCAAAATTTGGTTCAGCTGTGCATGGTAGCCAATCAGCTTCTAACTTCAGCTTGTTCCATTAAGCTTTGACAATAAAACCATGAAGCTGATTGGTTTTTATGCAGAACTGCACAAGATTTTTCACTCTCCAGTTTTAGTAAATCAACCCCTGTCTATCTTAACAAAAGTAAAACATTTAGAAACTGCTTTTCTGCATGGTATGTTAATGAGGGATAGTTGAGGCTGTCCCTCAATGAAAAACTCACTTGAGACTGTACTGAATTTATTAGAATCAGCCAGGGGCAGACTGACAACTCATGGGGCCCCCGGGCAATAGGGGATTATGGGGCCCCTGTGTCCTTGCCCAAATGCAAAAAATCCTATGAAAAGGTACCAGGGGCATCTCATGGGGCCCCCTACTGACCCTGGGCCCTCGGGCAGTGTCCGAGTTTCCAAATGGTCAGTCCACCCCTGGAATCAGCCATGTCTCTGTAGAAACATCAAAAATGTCTGGGTCATGTGCCTAGAGGCTGTCCTGCTGCATTGCAACCAAAGGAGGTTGGCTCCTCAGAATGGGCACCATTCAGAAATTATTTGCACTTTCTGAATGAAAGCAAAGCATTCTCTGAATGGACAAGGTGGAAAACTTGTCATAACCACACAGC